ATTATATACAGGCCCACTGACTGATTATTAGTGGACACACCTTGATTTAATATGTCCCTTTGGTCTTGTTATTTTCAGGGGTACCATCATTTCATGAGGTTTATTTTTTAATTCTGTTGAAGCATGGGTGAAAAGCAATGTCTGACTTTGATTTGTTCATTTTCTTAGAATATAAATTTTTTTTATTACTTTTGTCAGATTCAAGCTATTTCTGTGAGTATTGTGGGTAATTCTTTCATTAAATGAGGGGTGCCAACAATTTTGTCCACATATGTAACTAATCAGAACAAAACACAAGATATCTTGAAAGTAAATAATGACTTGGAGATATCTAAAACTGCATTTTAGACGAGTCAAAATTTTGTTTTAAGAAATTTTGAATTGGAACCTCCAACTTAATCTGATGCCATTGATWCAAATCAAAATATAAGTAAAGCTATCAGAAAAAGCTAATATGACTAGTCATGACTCAATTTTATGTATCTGGGATGTCTTATAATTTTGATTTTATGTTAAAAGGGCTTGCCATACACCCTTAGTTCATGTTTTCCAGCACAGGAAGAATTAGATGATGATGACATTAGCTCCAGCATTTTCACCCCTGATAAATTAAATCTAATAGTGTATTTGTTGATTTTTTAAATTTCAACTCTGTCAAAGTAAAAAAAAAACAATTAAAATCCAAACAATGTTTTAAATTTCCTCCAACTTTTCCTAAAAGACTATCGGGAATAAATTTATGTAAAATAGTTTTCTGTTTATGTACGGAAGTCATGAAAATAATTTTTACACCAATAATAAAGCTTTAAAATCACAAACAGCAGAAACAACATCATCAAAATATAATCTAACAAGAATCCTCAGGTGGCTGCGTATTCTTTTTATTTTTATTTTTTTTCCTGATCAACCATCCTATCAAACCGCAGAAACATATCATGGCCGTTTGGTATTATGGACTTAAAAAAGCTCATTTATTGCTCTTTCAAAAACATCACCTCTTTGTGAGTTTTCAGTGACAACCTCATCGGACAGAAGGCCCCGGCAGACGGACGCAGAATGATGGTTTTTAAACATTGTTCCTTAAATTGAGTGCATTTTTTGCTTTGATTAAAGCATTGCTTAAGAGACATGCCCTTGACTGGACCCATTGTGCAGCTCTGGGGTTTTGAAGGATGTGTGATTAAACACTGCGCACCTTGAAAACTCCTCACAGCGCCGGTGTTTTATGCACCGTGCGCACACAGGTTTTTACAACTGCTGCACGTAAACGTGGCAAAACAGAGCAGAGCTTTGCCTCCTCCAACAAGTCTTCACTGCCTTTATTTGTTGTTTAAAGATGGAGAAAAAACAAACAGGTATGGATAAAAACATTAAATATGACAATCCCAGGGTTTTAAACTAATGTAAGATTTTATAAGATGTGCTAACAGAGCAAGGGTTGGGGATGACTCTCAGCTACCGACACACAGCTGAGTTTGTTCTGTGATTGTTCAGGTTTACAGCTATTCTTATATTGTTTCAGGAAGGAGGGACACAAAGCATCTCCAGAAATACAGCCACACACACACACACACACACACACACACACACACACACACACACACACACACACACACACACACA